CTTCCCTTCCCTTCCCTTCCCTTCCCTTCCCTTCCCTTCCCTTCCCTTCCCTTCCCTTTCTGGACCCTTTCTTCTTGAATATATTTTTCAAAGAATTATGCACATTTCAAAGAATGATGCACATTTATTACTGTATTTGCACTGAAAGCTTTATTTTGTAATTACAATAGAATTTTAAGACAGGGAGGTTCAGCCTATCCTTATTAATTCAGTGCCCATACTTGAAGCAATATGCTAGTACTTACCTTGTGTTTTGGAAACATGATTAACAAATCTATTTCATGGATGCAAACCACCCCGTATTTTATCTTATTAATAAAAACATGTTTTTATCCAAGGACAGAAAATGATCTCTCTTTCTCTTTTATGAAAGCAGCTTGCATCTGCATTGGCCATATTACATAGTAATTCTCCATGTTGGTAGCAGTTGCTAGAAACAGAGAAGAAATACTTATCCATGTGACAATGTTCTTATGACTAAGTTCTCATTGTGCTAAGGCATTTGTTTTGTGTTTTGTTTTACTTTGTCTTATCATGATTTGTGAATGCATTTGTTGTGGTTGAGTTACCTCTTTTATAGATAAATAAAAAAGCTATAACCACAGCTTAATATGATATGAGAATCCAGCCTTCATGTATTTGTCAAACTTCTAGTGGTGTCACTATAATATTTCTTGCCAGACACCATTTTTTTCCATCCTAAATGGCTTAATATTTGAGAAGTTCTTTTAGCCTGCTTTCAGAAATGGAGAGACTATGTACAAAAATGTATGTAAAATTCAAGATTTCATCAGAATGATGAAACATGGATTGTAATTTTGTGACACAAGCTCTCTCCTTATGTATATCTATGTGATGTTGCAGTAGATGAACAAAGGGGGCAGGGCTTGCATTGCAGTGCATGTTTTGTAATTTCTCTTTCTGTGGACCCCCATGACCGTGTAGAATTGCAGTCAGTGATTAAACTGTCTGAATCAACTAACAGTGCTCATAAGATTATGCCTGTAATGTCCTACATCTTCAAAGATGAGTTTATAGTTTCAGATGATAGTCCTCTTCATAGCTGCTTGAATATATAAATACAGATTCTCTCTGAGAGCCATCTGAAATGCTCCT